CTGTACCCCAGTTCTTGTTTGTATGCATAAATAAATAAATTTTTTAAAAATTAAAAAAAAAAAGAAAAGAAACAGAAATCAGAATGGTGGTTTCCAGGAGTGGTGAATGGGAGCTGATGTTTAGTGGGTGCAGTTTCAGCTTGCCAGATGCAAAAAGTTCTGGCGATGCATAGTGGCGATGTTCACACAATGACTTGCGTGTGATAAGGGCACTGTACACTTGAGGATGGTGAAGATGATGAGTTCAATGTCACCATAGTTCATATATATGATTTATATAATATGTCAATGGAAGCTAGCAATATATAAAAAATTTTACCAAGTGACCAAATGAGATTTATTCCAACTGTGCAAGGCTGATTCAAGATTGAAAACAAGATCAATGCAATGCAACATTTCAATAGGCAATAGAGGAGAAAAACATGTGATCACATCACTTGACACAGAAAAAGCATTTTAAAAATCCAATCCCCATTTTTGACTTCCAAAAAGTCCCTGCAAGTTAGCAAAATAAGGGAACCGTCTCATCTTACAGTTAACAGCACACTTATGAGCAAGTGTCTTATTTAAATGCCTCTTCCCTACGCTGGGCACAGACATCCAAGGATGTCCCCTGTCACCACTCTTAAAGATGAGGAAGAGCTTTGCGCTGCTGGAATAATAATCTTCGTTGCACTGGTGGTTACACACACTACAGGGATGACACTGACGTCACACTCCATGCCCATTGGGCCTATGTCCGTGTCAAGTTTTGACATTGTACAAAATGACCTCAAGCAGCTACTTGGGATAACTGGTGAGGGGTGCACAGGACCTATCCCATGTGACCTTCGCAGCTTCCTGTGAATCTGTAATTGCCCAAAACCAACACGAAGCGGTGACACACAACCCTGTCAACCTTGGCAGATATTGTTTTGGTGAACAAAGAGTTGACACCATAGTACTGCAAGCAACGTCAGGGGAAGCAGCAGGCGCCCACTTCAGAGTGCCTCCACCCTGAAGCATCAGCCATCACCCACCCTCCCTTCGTACATGCCTGGCCTATCCTTCAGGAGTTCTGGTCTTCCTCTTCCCCCCTACGCCACCAACACTTGATAGCTCCTGCTCCTCCTCCTTGGCTGTGGCGGGGGTAACTTCCACATCCATCTGTCTGTTCCCACACTTCTCTCCCACCTCTACCTTGGCCTGCCAAACATATGCAACCTCTCCCCTACCCCAAGACAACCAAACAAAGGTAGTTCTCCCCTTGCCTGAGAAATGGGCCAGAAACCTTGCAGGAGGTTGCAAAGAGACGTTTACAGTGACAGGCTCAGGGTGAGTCTCTCTTTCTAGACGCATGCCCACAGAGGCGCCATTCTCAGTGTTTTCTACGAAATACTTGACTCGGAATCAGAGCTCAAGTCACAGTAGAAGAAAGGACTTGTCAAAATGTCAAGGCCACACAGACGAGGCAAGAAGGGTTTCTGTGGGTGCTAACTAGGAAGGGAGCGGGCACTTCCCAGGCACACCTGCCTGAAGACCACCCTTGATGCCTCCCAGGTAGCCTGATACTCTCGGGTAGGCACCTAGGTACTGACAGCCAAGGAACACCAAGTGCCTCAGACAGCTCCAGGGGAGACCCGGCTCCCTCCAGGAGTCTATCATAGCCCTGTACAGAGAGTCGGAATGCTCATTGTCACTATCCTGCTATGCAGAATAGGGGGACAGTTGGAGGGGACCAGAGTCTTAATCGTACCAGGCCTCGGTGGGGAGAAGGGGGCAGAAGGGTAGAGGCGAGAGGTCCCCTTTATCCGGATGAATGGAATGAGATCAAGGCTGAAGGGGCTGGAATAAGTGTCTCTGGGAGACCAGGGTCCCTGGGAGTGGCGGACACCAGTGGAGGTGAAATGGAGGCCCGACCAATCTCTTCCGGCGAAAGGGAAGTCATTTGAGGGAAGAGAGGCCGCCTCTCCATTCTGCATCTGGACCTGGCAGACTCATCCTGGAGACACAGTGAGGCAAGTCAAGTTTGCTGTCCCTTTAGCCCCTCACACAGACATGCTCCCTCCTCTCTTTCCCCTCCAAGGCACATCAGAGCTGAGCAGGCTGGCTCTGGCAGAGGCCTGGCTCTGCCCTCACCTGGCCCACCTCACCCTGCTAGCCGCAAGGCCCTGCTTTCCCCTGCCCTATTCCTGGCTCCCAGCCCCCAGCCACCCCGGTCAGCCATGCGCAGCCAAGGTCAGGCTGTTTTGGAAAAGCGCTGGGAGGTGGCAGAATGTGCGGTCTGCAAGTTCCCTCTACACCGGCGCCCCAGCCCCTGGACAAACATCGGCTGTGTTTGCCTGTCCACAACGGCCTGTGTTCTCCTTCCAGGCCAGGAGATCCCGGGAGCAGGCAGCCGTGTGGAGGATGTCACCAACCCACCAGGCCCAGTGGGGAGAGGCAAGGGCAGACTGGGTGATGACAGGCTCGCCACCCACAGCAGGGCGGTCAGCCCGAGGACAGGCCAGGGGCACGCTTCCTTCACCCCTGCGCCCACAAGGCCATTCCCCCAGGAGATGGAGTTCACAGAAAAACTACCTTCCCCTGGCGTGTTTCCCACTGGAAGCGGGGATGCCCACTGCTGCTTCTTGTGGAGCCTAGAGGCCGCTGTCTGAGAGGCGAGGGAGCCCCTCAGTGACCATCAGCTGGGTGGGGCAGGTAGCACCCGTTCTGACACAGGGACCACCCTCTCTTGTGCGTGACCCCGGAAGTCCCTGCCACTCTGAGATTCTGCTTTATTTTGTGGGTAAGGGGGGCACACCTCATGCTCCTCCACCCTGGGCAGGTAGAGGTTAAGGCTCGGAGTTGGGGACACGGCGGGGAGGGGCAGTTGGAGCAGAAAGACCCAAGGCACCAGGCGTGCTAATCGTCCTGCTTTGGTGGCTGTGCAGAGGCTGACCCTCCCCCTGGGTGTCCAGGCTCTGTGACCCAGCTGGGGGAGCCCTGCACTCCTGGGTTCCTGGGCTGGGGGGTTCCCCAGGCTGGGTCTGACTGTTTAAAAAGCAACACTGAAGTCACAAACTGGCCTTTCTGAGGCCAGCCCGAAAAGGCTTTCCCTCCTGAGACTTTGGGAAGAAGACGGGCGGCGAGACAGAGCGTGGACCAGCCTGGCACTGCGAGGCTTCTCCCTTGCCAGGGCCAAGCCCCCTGGTTCCTTGGGCAGCGAGGGCCACATCTCTGCCTCTTATGGCCACCCCTCCCCACCCACAGCCCGTCTGTCTCCTGGACGCCTCGGTGCTCCTTGTTTCACACCGGAGCTTGTGCGGCTGCTGACCTCACCTCCAGCTGTGGCGGTCAGAGTCGAGAGCAGCTTTTCCGAGTGTGATAATTGGCGAAGAGGACATGGTTTCAGGCACTCAGTAGGCTTGGGGGAATCCCTGAAACCTGCATCTTTACACCATCCTCAGGCTCCCGGTCCTGGGAAGTCCTGTAGGAAAGGCAACTGTTCAACTCTTTAACCTGCTTCCCCAAGCAAACTCTATTAGCTCTGGTAGTTACTCAAAAAACAGGCTCTGAGAAGCACCCAGGGGGTATGGGGCTGAAAGTCCCGCTCTGGACATAAACATCCCACTCGAGGAAACCAGTGGCCTCTGAGGACAGGCCCTCGGTGCTCTGGTGGCTGCATCTCGCAGAGACTCCTGGCCCAGGCAGTCATGGTCACGTGACCAGGGAGCCAGCTGGGAACCTCTCCCCTCCCCACGAAGCTGATCCTCCGGGGACTGCTCTGAGCCTGAGGAAATGGCAGGGGCCTTGCAGCACCAGGGATGCTGGGGAGGACCTCCCCAGTGATGGGACAGGGTGGAGGAGAGGGCGCGGCCGAGGGGAAGGCCGTGCCAGGAGCACTTTAGGGAGGCTGTGGAGGTAGAAACCAGAAAGCCAAGCGAGGGTGAGTCCCCATGGTTTATTATGGAAGCCTATAAAAGAGCCACATTGAGTATTTTCAAAATCACAAAATGCACAACATTCATTTTTTAATATGCAACGTGGAATATTATATACAGATTAAAACCACATGACAGCAAAAACACTCGCACGGCACCAGTTTCATATCAAAACAAAACACACAAGTGCTTTTCAATATTAAAACAACTGTGATAAAAACATATTAATATTTTGAACCATGTTTACAATAGAGGAAAATTCATTTTACTAAATAACAAATATTTAACAGCAAAACTTTATACTAAATATCTATTTTGAATTATAACAAAAATAGTACTTATAATAGTTTATAAAGACAGACACAAAATTATAACATTTATGAAAAAAAAAAAGTCTTGTGTATAAAATAATCTTATAGCTCTCCAGGCAGGGCCAGGGTGGTGCCCAGGACACAAACACCAGCGCCCAGCATCGAAAGTGCTTCAATCTGCAAGCCCATGGCAGTTAGAGTTTTGTCTTCTTAATGTCAAGTTACAAGAGTTAGGAATGGTAAGTGAGAAAACATCACGCATCTAGCGCTACCACTCTAATCCCTCTACACACACAGACACAGACAGACCTAGACAGATGGGTGCATTTCGACACTGGAACCCTCGTCAGCCAGTCAAGAGCTTTCTTTACTTCTCGTTGCCTGTGAGACCCAGCGGGGCACATGATCCTGCCTTCCTCCCTCACAGGCAACCCCCTCAGCTGTACCTTCTCTGCTCCCCCCCTCCCGCCCCCGGGGGGCTGGTCACCCCAGGGACAGCCACTGAGGCTCCCCGGAGCCGTCCGGCCTTCCTCCTCACTCCAGGGCCCCGGCTGGGGACTTCCAGCCTGAAGCTGCATTCACTGTATTCCTAGACACTCAGTCAACACCACTGGTCAGGACACCCTAGGCCAGCTGAAAGGAGAGCCGACCTGCCAGACACTGAGCCTTTGTGAGTAACGGATTCTAGTCCATCACGTAGCTGATTTCGCGAGCTTTGATGCATCTTCACACATTTTTGCCTGTTTTTTAGGATGAGGTGTGTGTTAGGGGAGGCGGGTTGAAAGATCTCACTAAAAAGTTTTTAGATGTCCATTTTTGCCAATAATGTCTGTCCTACGCTGTTTTTTAATCATGAAAGAGGAGGAGCCAGGTGAAACACTTGAGGACAGGGGATTCTAGAGCAATCTATCTGGTCTGAACCTCATCTTATAAAGTGTACCAGAAGGTAGGTGTGAACTGGGGTGACAGTGGGAGTCTGGCCTCTGCCCGCTGAAACTGAGCAGCTCACGTGGTCAGTTCTCAAAGCAGCAGCTAGGGGCTGGAAGTCTTGCATTCTTCTGTGTGGTTTTGATTTTCTTATCAAGAGGACTCTTGCTTTTAGAACATCAAAAGTGAGTAGAGAAACACAGAAAACAAAGAGAAAACCTGAAAACGGACAAAAATTGCTAGACTCACCCAAGGCTCCCAACCCATCCCCAGGAGGCACCCCAAATTGCCAACACTCAAAATGTCAGTGGCAGGAGCTACTCCCCTATCCCCAGTCACCCCGACTGGCCAATTTTCAAGCAAATCTCTTCTGACAAATCGCACGTACCCTCCTCCTCCTCACCTCCCCTGCCGCCACCCTCAGCTGCCTCAGACCTGTGGAGGACTGGCTGACACAGCGCTGAGGACGGGCTCCCTCCTAGACTCACCTCCCCTTGCCTTCATCGTCCCACACTCCTGAGCTGGACTAGGCAGACAGTGGCAAGAGGCAGAAAGGCCATCACGGAAAGGCCCTTTCCAAGGGCCAAAGACAGAATGTAAAGGTTAAAGAAGGGGTGACGGAGGCCTTTGCTCCCACCAGAAGAAAGAACCCGTATCCTTGCCCCATACTCACTAGCTGGAGTGGGGCCACTGGGGTGCTTATTGGCCAGGCAAGGGATCTTGGCAGCAGCCTCCAAATCCCCATGCGATCAGTGATTGGGATTTTTGACAGAGGAGGCCGTGGGCCATTTCCCCATCTCCATCAGGGAACAAAGGCAGAGGTGCTGAGTTTCACCCTGGAAGTGAGGCTCTGAGGTTGAACCCACAAAAAGTCTGCAGTCTGGAAGGAAGGTAGGCTACTTGCAGATTTTCTGCCTGGGACCAAGACTAAGGGACAGGAAACACTTGCTCCAGACCCCAGTAATGCCAAGACTTGGTTACATCAGTGAATAAATATAGGGGCTGGGGGGTGGGGAGCCACAGGGAGCAGCCCAAGAGCCAACAGCCTCAGATGCATGTGTAACAAAGGGGTCTCTGGGCCTCCAGGTGGGGAGTGGGGACGTCAGTGCGCATGCCCAGGGCTGCCAGGGAGAACGCTGAAAGGACAGAGCGTGGGGCGCCTTTACCCCAAGGTCAGAGAAGAGAAATAGTAGCAGCAATAGGTCATTTCACGGGCTGACTGCAGCCCCAGCCCTGGCATTCTGTTCTCAGGATGTGGCCCTGGGCAGCCACCCCAGGAGGGGCACTCTCCACCGCCCCCCCAACTTCCAGCCAAAGCAGGAGGAGGGGAAGGGGTCTGAAGAGAGCCAAAGAGGCCACCTCTTTCCTCCCTCCCTGGCGTTGACCACCTGCCCTCAGAATTACAGGGTTCAAAGAAATAGGAGGGGAGGGACCAGTTCAGAATATCACAAGCAATGCTGCAGCACAAGCCAACTGACATTTAACACTGTAACTGGCATGCGGGGCCCGGCCATGCCCTTTCCAGGAGCTAAGCTGGAGGGAACCGGGAAGAGACTGGACAGAAGCAGGAGCCAGGCAGAGCGCCCTCACTTCCCAGACAGACTGGGCCCTCTGGGCTTTGGGAAGGGCTTGCCAGGGACGGGGACGCCCAGGGCGAGTCCGAGGGGCTGCTCCCCGGTCTCCAGGGTCAGCCCCTCCCACACACAGGTTTCTACCTTTCCACCCTCTCCCACCCGCAAGCCTGGCCGGGTGGAGGCCGGGGGTGGGCCGGCGCGCCTAGACCGTGGCGCTCAGCATGGCCTCTGTCTCTGGCAGGATCTTGTTCTGGTTGGAGTCCAGGCCAAAGAATTTGACACTGAGGCCGTCCACGGGGTGCACCACTGGGACCAAGGTAATGCGGGGGAAGGTCCGGGTGGCCAGCTCAAAGCGGCTAGTGCTGGCCAGCTCCACCGCCAGCACCTTCAGGAAGAGCTTGGCCAGGTGCTTGCCCAGGCAGGTCCGGACGCCACCGCCAAATGGGAGGTAATGGAAGCGGCCATCCTTGTCTTCACTCCTCGCCTGACCAAAGCGGTCCGGGTCGAACACGTTCACATCTTTGAACACCGGGGCCGTGTCGTGGGTATCCCGGATGCTGTACATGACACTCCAGCCTTTGGGGATCTGGAAACCCTGGAGACACAATAGGAGTAAAGGCTGGGTTGCGGTGGGGGGAGCCAAGAGAAGGTTCTAATTGGCCCAGGACTTCCTGCCGCCACCCCCAGCTGTTCCTAGCAACACCCCCCTAGAACCCCCAGGCCTGCCCTGCCATCCCCTCAGCATTCAGCCCCGTCCCTTATTAACAGACGTCCACATGCCACATCACATATGACGCAAGACTGGTTTCATATGAACCACTGTTTGGGGTGGGTGTTTCCCTAGAAGAGCACACCGTCTCCCCATCAGATAGGGGTACCCTCTCCCGCCCACACACACAGTGCTGCCATGTGGCCCCTGAGCCCCAGCCCCAAGACCCAGCCTCACGTCAAGCTCGAAGGTCTGCAGCACGGTGCGATAGCCACCAGAGATGGGCGTGAAGAGGCGCATGACCTCCTTGATGACGCAGTCCAGGTAGTGCAGCCCACTAAGCATGTCCAGGGAGAGCGTGCCCTCGCAGGGACAGCCGCCGCTGTGCAGGATGCCCTGGGCTCGCAGCTCCTCCCGCAGCTTCTCCAGCACAGCCGGGTGCTTCAGCAGCTGCATGATGAGGGAGGTGCTGGCGCTGGCGGTGGTGGCATAGGCTGCAAAGATCAGCTCCAGGGTCCCGTCCTGCAGCAGCAGAGAGCACCGTCGGTGACCTCGCCCACCCAGGCAGGCCCAGTCTGGGGGCATCCCTGCTCCGCCAGTGCCCCCACTTCTCAGGGTCATCCACCTGAGTGCCACCCACTTCTGAGCCTCATGTTGCTGTGGCCCTGGAGCCACAATGGTCACGGGGGCAGTACCCGACTGGACAAGAGACAACCTCTACAACCCAGATGAGCCTGGACATCTCTTGGAGCAAGTGGGTCACTGCTCACTCACAGTTGGATCCCAGGGCCAGCCCTAGCAGGTCTGATCAGTGCAGTGAGCCCCCAAGAAAAAGAACAAATCCCAAGGAGCCAGGCACAGTGGAGGCGAGTATGTGGGGGCCACACGGGAGAGGTGTAGTGTCCATGCCAAGAGTAGGATCCCTGGCAGGTGGTCAGGAGAGCACGGAGGCCTGACAGACAGCCTGAGGCCATTCTCACCAGGGCCTAGAATAGGCTACAGGGAGAAGGCTGAGGGGAGGTGGCCCCCAGGTGACTTGGAGACCTCGACTAAAGGTGTGGACAGAAAGGCCCTGACAGGCGCTCTCGTCTCAAGCCCTGTCTTTATAAATATGGACTCCAGTCCAGAGCAGGGCGAGGGAGGGCAGAAAGCCCTACTTGCACCCAGAGTGGACAGTCTTGGTGCCGGCAACCCAAATAGGCTTAGCCAGTGCCAGGCAGGCTGGAAATTGTCAAATGCCACCAACTATAGGAGATAATGGGGGAGGAGGACTCTGGTCCAAATCCCTGTAGCTCTGCCCCAACTGCTGGGGCTGGCCTCAAGTCAGGAGCTTTCCCTTTCTCACACGATCTATCGGGCACCTGAGTCATAAAATGCACTGAAATTGTGACTACACCACCTATGCCCAGTCTATGCAGAGATTCCTAGGGAACAATTCTGGCATATCTGAAAAATGGTAGAGGGACCTGGGCGGGACCGAGAGCATGGGCCCAGGCACGGTGATGACCCTGTTGCCAGCAGAACTGGGCGCACACCTGGAGAGAGGGCGGCACGGCAAGCCCACCCTTCGCGAGGCTTCTTGTCCTCCCCATAGGCCATGCCATGGCAGGCGGATACATCGTCTGTCTTCTGGCTCTGGCCTCAGCTCTGGTGCAGCGAGAGCTGCTCGAGAGCAGTGCCTAAGGAATGGGACCTCTGGGTGGGAATGCCTGGGGGCCCTTCCAGTGCGGGGCATGGTGCGCTGGGGGGGAGGGGGGCCACCTTCAGTTCTTGCATGGTCATCTCCTTCCCGTGCTCCTTGCTGCTCTCGATGAGGATGTCCAGGGCGTCCGAGTAGTCCTTGCCCTGGGCGCACTGCAGCTTCTCCCGAATTGCCTTCTCCAGTCCCTTCTGAAGGATCTGCCGGGCCTGAATGCCCTAAGAGGAGAAGGAAGCATCTAGTCACCCAGCAGGATGGGGCAGGGCCACCGAGGGCACCACAGGCAGGCAGGACAGGGTAAGGGGTTTCATCTAAGCCTAGGGACCACGCCGTGAAGGCCACCCTGCCCTGCCAGAGACCCGTGAGTGTTGCGCGGCCAGCTGCCCCCTCCCTCAGGGTGGGCTCTCGGTGCTTCTGCCTCTTTCCTGGGCCCCAGATACTCACCCGCCGGTATCCACTAAAGGGCAGGTCAACGGGCAGGGAGAAGACGTTCTCCACAAACTGCTGGTAGACCTCAAAGAGATGACCGAGGTCCTCTTCCGGGATGCTGAAGCCCAGCAGCACACGGATGGCCATGCGGAAGGTCAGCTTCTGGGCCTCCTGGTACACATTGATGGCCTCCGGGTGACTGCTCCAGGCACGCAGCGTGTCCTGGATCACCAGCTGGATCTTCGGCAGGTAGCTCTCCAGCGCCTCGTGGCTGAAGATCTTGGAGAAGACCTAGAGGGCAGAGAGGCAGGCGGCTCTCAGGTGGGCTCCCCTGGGTCTGGGTGGAGCCCAGATCCTATGACTACGGTCGAAAAAAATCCCAGGCCTCACCCCACACCCAAACACAGTGTGCTCACTGACACCCCTACTCTGTACACTGCTGTGTTTGGGGGGAAGGAAACACAGGAAGGACAGGATTAAAGTGGGGTTCATAAGCATTTTTATTTGAAACACGGACCTTCCATCTCATTCGCAGGATGTTCTGAGCTGTCATCTCCTTTTTGATATAACCACTACCCTGACCCCCATGCCCCTTGAAAGCCATGTGCCCCCAAACCATCAAAGCCTGGGGAGCTATGCAGTCCAGTGGCCAGGAGGTCTGCAGGCCGTGTGGTCATCTCAGCTAGGGAAAACACAGGAGCGGGCTGGGCCAGGCTGGAGGGCAGGCCAACCCTACCCTGCGGGGGCTCGCCTCCCACCCCTCAAATTCCCAGGACGCGCTTCAGAAGTGTTCCAGAGGAATACAAAACAGAGTGGATAAGGGAGAGGCAGAAAGCAGTAGGTGGCTTTTCTCCTCCATTGAGGGGAGAACCGGGGCTGAACAGCAAGCACAGCTTGGGGAGACCCAAAATTGCTCTCACACCCAGGGGTGGGATCCCAGGTAGTTTGTCAACACTGAACCACCATATGTCTTTAGTGTGGCTGGATCTGGAGGCGGGGGTTGGGAACAAGGCTTTCCACACCAAAAGATCACAAAACCAAACAGAAGCCTTTTTAATTCCCTCCATTTTCCCGGTCCATTTTAAGTAGCCAATGAGGCCCTGTTTCTGCCTCCCCAGCTTGCCAGCGGCCTGATCCCTCAGCTCCTGCCCCCATGCACCCCCCCCCAAACATCACTCGGCACATGTCGTTCATGTTGCTGCCCGTGGTGTGCAGCAGAGGGAGGGTGTTTGTTTATTTACTGTGGCTTGTGGGTCCTGCTTATAATCAACAAATTCCATCCCCCACCCAAGGTCCGATGGGGAAGGGGGACGCGTCCACCAGCACCCAGGGTCATCTGGGTGGCAGAGGGGAGGTGCAGTGTAGAGGAAGGAGACTAACAGTCCCCTAGACGCCCCCCCCCAGCCCTACCCTATGCAAACCACACACACGCGCCCGCCCTCCCTCCTGCCCCCCAAACACAACCACCGCACAAACTGTAAATGTGAGAATTTCCCCTGCAGTCAGCTCGAGGAGGAAAAGGTAACATTTTCCTGGCCTCAGCCCTGCATGGCTAATGGGAGGGCTGGTTTGCAGAAATAACAGTGCTGGCCCTTCAGTGGCCCAGCCAGGCATTCACAATAGCACTTTCATTCCGAAATTCCCGGTGGGCAGAGGGAGGGAGGGAAAGAGGCCAGTGAGGGGCAGAGAAGCCAGCACTGTTTGGGGCTGCTTCTGCTACGCAGGGACAGCTGAAAGACAGGAGGACGAAGGGAGGTGGCCATGGGCGGCGCAGTCCCAGATGGGTCACTCACACCTTGCTCCGCTGCAGGGGCCCTCAGCTGCCACATCCCTCAGGAGCTGTGGGTAAGGGCCATGCTCTCTGTTTCAGTCCCTGACCCTGACTGCTGTCCTTAGGATTCCAGGTTCAGCTCTTGGTGGAGAGTCTGGGAGCTCAACACCACCAACTAAGGGCCTTAAAAACAACACAGAGCCCTGGGGTAAGTAGCGAGTGGTGTGTGGGAGCAGAGCATGCTCACCAGAGAGGCAGAAAGATAACTCTGTGGCTACCAGACCTCGCTGGGGAGGCTGGAGGTAGGGAATGGCTGGGACGGGAAGGCCATGCTTGGCCCAGAGCCAGACAGTGCAGGACAGACTGAAGGGTGCCATCAAGGAGGGGAGGGGGCAGGGCCTAGACAGAGCCCCCAGCACCTGGGAGACCAGAGCCAAAATATGGACATGTGGAAGAGGGGATAGGGCAGAGGCCAGGCCCATGAGAACCAGTCAAGGTCAAATCCCCAAGACTCCAAGATGCAGCGGGGTGGTGGGAAAAGATAGGCGGGCACCCAGATTCCTGAGTTTTAACCCGGAACCATTCACCAACTTACGACAATTATGGCCCAGTCAGCTACTCCACCCCCTAGCCTCAGTTTCTTCATTTGTAAAATGGTGAAGTTGAACCGGCTGGCCTCTGGGGCTCCTATCCATCTAGAGAGCATAAACACCAACACCCGTGTGGCACTTTGATGCTACCCTTTCAGAGCCTCAAATCTGGCACTGCACGAATCAGTTGGTAAGTGTCTGCCAGGCCCCTACGCATATACCTCAAATGGGTAGGCCCCCCAGTGTTTTGTGGGGGCGGGGGCGGGCACTGAGAGCCAGTACTCCCCCCTCTACTCCTCCATCCCCTCAGAAGGGAACAGACAGGACCCGCTGTCCCTGCCCTAAAGGTTACATTCCCTGCGCCCTCTAGTGATGGCTGGCTGAATCACTCTGTCTCCAGCCTTGGGGGCCAAGGAGGTCAGGGGGGAGGAGGGGGGAGCTGGGATGGATCAGAGGGACTCAGAGGACAGGGAGTCCACGCTAAGCAAGGGCAGGAGCTGAGTGATCCCAGGAAGCTCACCACTACCCTGTAAGACTCCCGGGATGGGGCTTCTGAAAAGAGAATCATACCCAAGACCAGGGTTCTCATCGTGAACCACCTAGTCTAATGGATTTTCTAGGGGTCTCTTTCCACCTGGCTGTCTTATGTGTCTCCTCAGAGCCCCCATAAGGTAGAAGACTACCCACAAGCAAGGAGTAAGTGGAGGTAGGCTTACTTGGGTACTCCAGACCCAAGGGGCTTCACCCAGAGGTCACCAAGTCCACGCTCCTGCCTCCAGCCCATCTGTCCCACAGGCATCAGGACCTCCCAGGCACCAGGAAAACTCCAGGGCCTCATCCCTGGGTTTGTGCCCAGGGTTAACAACATGGGCACTTCCCGAAGCTGGGGCAGCCCAGAAACCACCACCCGCCACAAAGGCCAGAAGGAGGCGGAGGTGCTGGCCTGGGCAGAGGGAGGCCTGGGCTGGCCGCGTGGGGCGGGTGGGGTCAGCGCTCGGGCAGTGGGAAGGTGCCCGAGGAGCGGCTCAGTGTGAAGTGGGGAAGGGCTGCTGGCCCCCAGAGCCAACAGCTCTGACCACAGGTGTAACTGGAGCCAGGCAGGCTTTGTTTCCCTCTGGGGCTTCCCTAGGAATTCCCAAAAGTGAGCCAAGAATGCAGGACAAAGGTCATCAGGAACCAGCAAGGCCCAGGCAGAAACCTGCAGAGGGAGCCCAGATAGGACTACCCACCCTGCTGGTGCCACCTGGGAACTCCTGGGCACAGACAGGCCAGGATGAGCTCCTGTCTTGAAGGGTGTGTTCAGAAACCCTCCCCCGAACCTGCCACCACAACACAATTGTCTCAGGAGGCCACATCTTTGCTTCTGTCTCCCTGAGCTCACAGCTGCACACCCCCCCCCCCAGCGAGAACCACCAGGGGGCTTAGCCTTGCTCAGTCCCCTGCGATTGTATCTACAGATGCTCTCCTGCCTCCTGCCCTTGCGCAGTGTCCCCAAGAGGGAGAAGCTCACGGGAACCCCATGGCCCACTCAGCCCATGGCCCACTCAGCCAGAAAACCTCCTCCTGTTCTCCTCCAGCTGTGGATGGACAGACAGATGGACTCTGTGGCTACCAGATGGACAGGCAACCATGGGAGCAGAAAGTTCTAGAGAGGGAACCCATTCCCCTGGCTAATGACTCAGACAGGGGGAGGAATGGAAGCGGCGGCCTGGGAGGGTGGGGGCCTGGGCAGGCCAAGCCACCGGAGCCACGCCACGGCCGGCAGAGTGGAAAGAATAACAGAGGGCAGGCGGCCTCTAGACAGCTGTCCGCACAGGGCGACGCCAAGGTGTGTACTTTATACTCAAGGAAGAGGGAGGACAAGGGAGGACGTCATCTTCCCGGCTGCCTGGCATTTCCAGTGGGCCTCGGTTTCATGCTGGCTGCCTTCTGAGCTGGTCCCCACTCAGCCCCTCAGGGTAGGGGGGGCTGACCCAGACTCCCCAGGCTGAGCAAGCCTCTTCTGGATTCCCCAGCCTCTGAGGGAAAACAGTACCTGTCCCCCATGTGACTGCAGCGCTAATTGCCAGCTCGCCCCAGTCCTTCCACACACAATAAAAGCCTGCGGTGAGGAAGGGCAGGGCAGCACTTGGCAAGTACCTGCTGAGCCACAGAATCTGAAAAAGGTTCTGAAAGTTTCAGCCAGAGAGAAACCCCCTTGGAAAGTTAAGGCCCAAAGGGGAAAGGTCTTTCCCAAGGTCACAGTCTAGGACGTGGCTGGCCACACCCACCAGCACCTCCCCCCCCACCCCACCCCCTCAGCCTCCCACTATTCAAAACCCTCACTCCTAGCCCTCCTCTAGTCCTGGAGGATTCTGGATTTATCTAAGAAATCTGAAGGGAACTCCCCTCTCTGGTTTATTCAAAGGGTAAGGTCAACGCTTTTGGTTACTCTGGCTTTCTCTCAACACTTCTCAGCGCTGGCGGCTCTGCCCTTCAGCCTGGGGAAGCTGGAGTGGATACAGCAACTGGCTCCAGGGAAAGGGGCCAGGGCAGACCCCAGTGGAGCCTCCCTGGACCCTGCCAAGGCCACAAAGGTCTCCAAGGCTGGGAGAGTGAACGGACGCATCAGCATCACAGCCTTGGGCCCCCACCCCTCCCTGGAAAGACACGGAAAGGAGGGAAAAAGGAGGTCATGGCCCCCCAAGCATAGCCTTCGCAACACTGCCTGCTGCCTGGCACGAGAGCATGCCGAGGGAGGTGCCCACTCCCAGGCGCCTTGGTGGCTGGCTGCGAGCTCCCTCCCCTGCTGACCTTCAGAGGCTGCTGCCTCCCCCCTCAGATGCGCCTGCAGCCACCCACTGATGCTACAGTAACTTTTGGGTGAAGGACTTGAGCTGGCAGAACAAAGACTGCCTGTGCCAGGACACTGGGGCGGCAGCAGCGCTGCTTGGGGTGTGCCACCTGCCTTACCATCCCATTCAGGTGGGAGCTTCTGTCGCAGCTGAATCTGGTGGACAGACTTTGCAGAGAGGCTGTGCCCTGTCAAAGGTTACTTGAAGACAGTCTGGGCTCCCCTCCCTCAGGACCCCCCTCCCACCAGGGGTCCTGCTGGCTCTACCCTCCTGCTGAGGCACCTCCTGCCCTCTCTATCCTGACACCCTGCCCAGGGTGCACAAGGTTTCTGACAAGACAGCAGTGATCTTGAGCCAGTGTGGACAGTCCAAAGGCCAGATGATGAGGGGAGCTGTGTGGGCCATCAGTGCTACTTCCCCCCCCCCCCCCGCTGCCAAAGCCTGTTGTGCTGTTTCCCCACCTCAGCTCTGGGCCCAGAAGTTACGGTAGCCAAGGAGTCTCCATACCAGGGACAAAAACCTTCTGGGGTGTGTCCCAGTGCAGGGTGCCAAGGCTAAGTGTATCACCTGGGATACTTGCCAAGTTCTGAGAGGGACACTATCTGAGGTGCCCTGAAGCTGCTGGCCCTTTGGGGCAGAATTGTGCCATTCCTGTCCCCAAAGGAAGCGAGGACGAAAGGCCCCGTCCAACCTGGTGTGTGGGTTTGGGCACTGGAGGCTTCAGATCTATCCCAGACCCATCTGTATCTTTGACAACCCCTCCCCCCAGGCTCCCCTAGTAGAGTCCATCCACCTTTCTAGAACAAGAGCCTAGTGTCCCTGCACACCATGAGGGATGGAGGCCCTGCCCTCAATCAGAGACACCCCAGGCTCAGGCATAAAGACTGTCGACAAAGGGGAAGAACCCAGTCTGAGGTCAAGGCTGTGGGGTACAGGATTGGCTTCTTCCAGCCAGGACTCCGTTAGACTGGCAAGGCTTTCTCACATCAAGCCCACCTCTCTTGGCCCTAGACCACCAGGGAAGCCGGATAAACACCTGGAGTGCAGTGATGGCTGTGAGCAGCCCCTTCCCAGCACATCTGGTCAGACCTCCCAGTGAATGGGTGGGACATGAGGCTCCGTGGAAATAGTGACGTTCCTAGTTCCCTGCCACCAGGACCCTACCACACCTGGGCCCCACTTCCTGCGAACACACCCTAACCAGGCCGAGGCTTGGTCCGGCATCCCACCTCCAGCACTGTGGTAGCATGGGCTTGGGGCAACCGTAAGTGGCACATAGTAGCCCCCACTCTGGCCAGACTGGGTGTTTGTCCAAAGGGACTGGCCATTCCATCCAGCACCTGTATGTGCCCCTGACTATTCTTATCTGGTTCACTGTACTTCTTGAGGCATAGACTAAGTTTCCTGCTTCTGTGTTTGTGCCTCACCCAGTATCTTCCATTTAGTAAGCCCAAGCTTATGCAACAGCAGTGAGTGATAGCTGCGGAGAAGGACAGATTTGTCCACCCATTTACCACAGGAGCCAAAAACATGCCACCTAGCAAGTACACAACTAGAGAAGGTCCTGCATTAGGATTCCAGGCCTGGGTCAAGATGAACTGCTTTCTGGCTACTCCCCACCCTCCAGGTGCTAGAGGACAAGGGTGACCCAAAGAAAGACCAGCAATATCCACCTGTGAGCCTTGGTTCTCAGCCCTGCCCCAGAGACACCCCCCCCCCCATTCCTTGCCCACGATGCTCTAGAAGTATTTACCTGTGCTGGCTCATTCCTCCTCCCCTCCTCATTAATGGACAATGCAGTCCAAAACCTGGGGGCTTTGCAGGTCTTCCATACCCTGAAGCCTAAGGCCAAGTCAGGCACAGGGTAGTGGAATCACAAGACAATACCATAGTCCAAAAGTCTGGACCTCCCTGGGTCCCATCCAAGTCTTCCTCCCAGCTCCTTTCCAGGCTGCTTCACCCCCCTCCAGCCCCAGATTAATCAGGACTGAGGAAGGCTCTGCTTAGTGGCCCAGAAACAACTCTTCCCATGGATGGCTATGCTCCAGGCCCTGCCTGCCTTTCTTTGCTTCCAGGACGACTTAAAGTCTCTCCAGCCCTCTTCAGGGAGAAGGGGACTGTGATTGTTTTATTGTTAAAGGCCCTATAATGATGAAATGAAGAACCAGCTGCATTCTTAGGGGCTGGATTTCTCAGTCTCAGTTCTCTCCAGGCTCCTTCAAAGGGCTTTTGGTAGAGTCACAGAGATTAAGAAAAAAGAAGTGTCTAGTGACTTTGAAAAGCCCCCATTCGGGAGCCTGCAGCTCCCCCTCGGGGTCCTCCCCAGAATTCCGCCCACCTGCCCCAGGGCGGCATTACTGCTTCCTGCTCTAGCCCGCACGTGGGGAGAGGACTTGAGAGTCCCTTTCCGTCCCTGCAACACGTGCTGTACAGGGTGGAGGACGGGGAGCCCTCCGTATGATTCCCCCCCTCCGCCTGCCACGGAGAGAAGCTTGGCCGGTAGTTCAGAGGACATCGAATACTGTGAGATGAATTCCCCGACGTTCACCGAGACCACCTCGCACACAGACTTCCGGCGGGGGGGGGGGGACTGCCCACGGGTGTCGGGGCCCCGCCACGCCTCCCGGAGATCTGAGGCTGCCGCTCTCTTTCCTTTAAGTTTCAAACCTGGGTGAGCCCTCCGACCGAGTGGAAAAAACGAGAGGAGGGGAGGTCTTGCAGCATCCCCTCCCGCCGCTTTAAGCTCGCAGACCCGCGCCCCGCCCGCGGGCGGCTCAGTTTTCGGGTTACTGCAGTTCAAACAGCACGTGCCGCCCGCGCCCGGAGCCGCGGCG